CTGCCTTTATCCACATTTCCTGAATAACGCACTCCTGGCAAAGCAAGCAATTAATTCTAGTCACACTCATTATGCACAGACTCACATTAAACTCTAGTCGTAGCTTGGATCTCTGATCTCTTTTCTAGTCACTTGGCCACGTGGTTAGGCCCTAGTCATCCGAACTTTTAGTCAAACACTTAGAGATCCACTACAGTGCATGATATTGCATCCTATTTTTAGGTACTATGATGTGACAAAATGTTGACCTTTCCTCTCGGCACTGTTTTCCGTGCTCCCTGTGAAGTTGGCCCATGACCTTCATGCGATCTCTGGGTTACTTGAACTTGGAAATTTGGAGCAATGCACTTCAGTCCACTCATCAAGGGGTTCAACAACTCTGCTTGGAAAAAAATCCACTTGCGATTGTGAGTTGCAGACAGAGAACGATACACCATGGCTATCAGTCAACTATCACCATCGCCAGAATGCGCATTCATTTGCAGTCTAAATTGACTTGCCTCTGCTTTCATGAAGACCCATCGGTTATCTTGCGAAGCAAGAAGCTTATTGTTTGTGCCATACATACACATAATGAAGCTGGGTCAGGGTCGTTCAAAAGAAGGGTCATGGTAAAAATTTCCAAGTTTTCATGTCTCCTTTGGTGCTCCCTCGAGAAAAATCAAGTACATGTTCTCGACTTCGCGTAGGCCTGTGTATTTTTACGAACCATCCGAGAAAAATGTGAGTCCCGGGCGTAGTTCTGATTTATAGCAATTTGAACTTAGTCCGAGAAAATACTTTGCCGAACGTATCGTGAAAGCAGATGATACAGTATCTTCAATTTTTTACAAATCCTAGTTTCCAAGGCTGTACCTGATGTTGCAGCGCATTGTTGTGTCCCTAGCCCAGGCGGTGGGGAGAGGGGGAAGGAGGAGGCCTCACTGACGCAGTTTTGTTGGTGGGAACGGGCGGGGCCGCCGACTTCCCGCGCCCCTTATACATCTGGGTGACGTCATGCGCTTGGTTCTCTGCCCTTTATCGAGAGTAAAAGCTAGCTGATACCTTAAAATTACTTAAATATTCTTTATGTTTAGTCAAAAGCTCTTTAAGGTATCATCTGCTAAAAAAAAGTTAAACCGGCGTCAGTTGGCACTCAAATACGGACTATCCGAGTGGAGAATGGTATCGATCACCAGCTCCAATTTTCAAGAACAAAATGTACTCAGTTCAAGTGAAGAGTGGCATTTATTCAATTGATTCCAAAACGCACTCAGACCGATTAAAATGTACTCATTCCGATAACAGTTTTTTCTGGGTGTGAGAATTGCCCTGAAAACGGGTTATTTACTCACTTTTTCTTACTGATGCACGTCACGTCAATGACCTAGGGGTACGTACACAATGAATCGTCCTTGGTAGGTTGGCTTAACTGGTGTTCATGTTTTATGGGCAGCCACACGCTAACCAGTGACACGAATGTTTTGTTGGTCTCCAGAGCCAGTTGGTTCTTGCAACTCTATGAATGAACGACGGCGTGTGCAGCACCAACGTGCCAGTTTTTGGCTATGAACGTTATATACCTAACGACACTGTGGACTGTAACTACTCTTCAATCAGCGAATGGTGCAAAAAGGATTCCAAACACTGCAGTACGTACGCTGTAAAAACGTTTTATGACCAAAAAAATATGAAATGGGGGGTAAAATTATAACCAAATTTAAAAGTAACGAGATGTGAGTATTGACCTGGAATTCATCGACGAGCAAGTATAGGTTGTCGTAACTCTCCATTATATTTACATACTAGTTATGTGGACGCCAGACCACGTCTCGTGTAACAGGCTTCGCGATATCTCTCGAAATAGTGTTTCGCTGAGATGCGCCCGGCCTAAGCCTGCGTCGCTGACACCCAAAACGAGCGTATGTATAGGAAAGTGTGCGAGAGTAAAGCCTTCCGGACCTAAACTTTGACATGCTTACAGCACAGGCAATTTTTTTTTATAAAGGGACGAATGTCCAAACCCACTAAGTTATCAGGAGCGACGAAATAAGGTTCCCTTTTTTGCCTGCAAGATAGGGGTTTTAAGCCACGCCTTTGATAGTTACAGGGGCGGATCTGGCTCGCAGTTCAAGGGGGGGCAAAAATTGCGGGTTGCCTACTTCCAGGGGCACTTTTATGTGACAAAAAAAATAACTTCCATAATTTTTATGATTTAAGGTCTGAAAATATTTTTGGGCGCACAGTAAAATTTCCCTTTTGATATTTATTTTTAAAGTTGAAGTACTGTCGTGTATACTAGTAGTTACAGAGCAGCGGGAGAGGGATTTGCGAGTGAAGCGAGCGAAAATTTTTGTATTTGTGCTTCTTTGGGTGGCAAATTTGAACGCTCGTTTCATATGAAATGCTTCAAACGAGTGCCAAAAGGACCTCCGTAATTGTGCAAAGAGGAGCTGTAAGGCCGCGAGCGAAGCGAGCGAAAAAAAAAGATAATAAGTGATCTTTTGCACCTTAAAAATCGCGAGCGAAGCGAGCGAAATTTTTCTTAGGGTACGCGCTTAGTTCAAAATACGTTTAAAATTTGTTTCTATTGCCAGTTTAAAGTCATTAAAAATAATTGCTTTGTTCATTTATTTTCACCTTTTGGACAAGCGTTGGTATGGAGTGCATTTTTAAAATTTAAATTCCAGAATAATCTAGTGGAGATGAGTGCCTCGTTAAACGGTATGCAATGATAGAAGCCAAATTAAGACAGCTGATGGGACATGCATATGTGCGCTCCCTGCTTCCGGCGATTGTCCACATTCTAGTTGGTCAAATTGGCGAATGTCCATGAACAATTTGACAAAGAGACGAACTAGAGATGGGCGAACAGGCCAGTTCGAATTTGAACGAACTCGAGCAAATTTGGTCCAAAAATCTTCGAACGAACACGAACACGAACAAGCATTTTTTTCTTCGAACGAACCGAACCGAACAATGTAATGTTCAAATTCGATCCGAACACGAACAATTATTCCCAATTTTTCTTGCTTACGCGTTATAAAAGCTATCCATTCTGGTTT